CAGAGGGGCAAATCTAATAAGAACAACAACAGCAGGTGACATTTTTGACCACGGGCCTCCTACTTATGGCAGTGCAGGGGCTCTAGTGCCCAAAAATATCACATCCCAGGGCTGCCATTCATATCAAAGACAGTATAGATTTGTGTATTCAGCAGAACTTTTCAGCAGCTAGCTGCAGAGTTTCCTTCTCTAACAAAATCAATATATGGTGACAATTTTCTAACAGAGAGCAATAAAGTGTCTGGAGGAAAGGAGTCTTTTTCTCAATCACCCAAAGGTGCCCATGGTGGGCTGGCAGTGGCCTTGGCCGAGCCCTTCCTTTGTGTACACACTGTGCTGACATCTTCATATTCCTGACCTCACTGGATTCCCTAGAATTAGCTACCGGGACCTGGGCTTGTGCTTGGCCAGTTTTCATTGAGGAAGGTCTTTTGTGATACTTAAGACGTTCCCAAAGGAGATCAGATATGTTTCAGGCCCACGGTTTGATGGTGGCCCTCTCCAGCCTTTTTTTTTGAGACCTAGTCTCACTCTGTCACCCAGGCTGGAGTGCAGTGACACAATCTCGGCTCACCGCAACCTCTGCCTCCTGGGTTCAATCGATTCTCCTACCTCACCTCTGGAGTAGCTGGGATTACAGGCATGCACCATCATGCTCAGCCAAATTTTAAATATTTTTAGTAGAGATGGGGTTTCACCGTGTTGGCCAGGCTGGTCTCAAACTCCTGACCTCAAGGGATCTGCCTGCCCCAGCCTCCCAAAGTGCTGGGATTACAGGCGTGAGCCACCATGCCTGGCCCTCCAGCATATTTTTAACAAGTTTTCCTATCCACAATCCAATCCCAGGCAAGGGATTCCTGAGGATACCACGTGCCAGGGTCCTACCGAGACTCGCATGACACTGCGTCATCACCCTGCACCTTTTTCTGTCTGGCTGAGTGTAGGCTGGGCATGTGTTGAGAGAGCCATTAACAAGCCTTGCTGCTGCAATTGCCTGTTCTCAGCTTTGGTGAGTGGGGGGCAGGGGCAGTCATAAGCCTGTGCCTAAGAAAAGCCCTTTTCCCTTTGTTCTGTCTGGAATAGCAAGAGGAAGACAGCTCTTCATGAGAGACCCGAGATTTAATCTCACTAAGCCTCAACTTTCTCATCTGTAAAATGAAACTTAAAATTCCCATCTCACAGTATTCATATTTTTGTATTAAAAAGGGAAAATAATAAAGTGCCAGCTTAGTGTGTGCTTAATCATAACGCTCAATGAAGGTTAGTATCCTTCCTTCTTTCCTTCCCTCTCCTCACTGTCTCCCCACCTCACCAATGTCCATTTCCTCTTCTCTTTTCCTCCAGACTGGCCTTACAGAATCCTGTTTCAGGGACGCTCCCCTCTACGGAGAGTCCCTGCAGCACCAGGTAACCTTCCTTACCTTTCAGAGTTTCATCAAGCAGGATCTGATGTAAAATCTCCTCATAGACATTTTCAACGTGAATCATATTGGTATGATCTGCAAAGATGAACTGCTCATATTTCTGAAGCTCCTGGAGAGCAAGAGATAAGAAGATAAAGATGAAAAGGCATGAGATGCCTGTTCTTAGAGGAGATACAGAAAGGACAATTCCCACTCATGATTCCTTTCTTGGAGGGCATGAGAGAAGGACAATGTTGGCCCAGGGGCAAATTACTCAATTCAACAATATTTTACTGGGTTCCCTTCAATTCAATTCATTGTCTAGGCACCATGCCTGACCTCAACACATCTATTACTGTCCATGATAAGGTGCAGAACTCACTCAGCCATTGGTGATTCCTTTCCCTTTCCTTGTACTGGCCATGCATTTTATGCACTTCATGGGGGAAGACAGCAGTGATTTTTTTTTTAAAACCGCCCAAAGCCCCAATAAGAAGGTTGGAACCCCCCTTTTTTCCCCCAACAACAAAAAGGTTCCTTCCTCCCTTTTTAAAAAAAATAAAAAAACAACTTAACAAAGGAAGGTATATATAATAAAATGTACAGATAAGTACAGCTCAATGATTTTAAATATGTAAATATTACCTACGTAACCATAACCCAGATCAAGAAGGAGAATGTTTCCATCATCCCCAAAGTTCCCCCACTCCCCTTTCCAGTCTGTACCCCTCAAGATATGAGCACTGATTTTATACCTATCGTGATAGATTGGCTTTTGCTTGTTCTTGAACTTTATAGAAATGAAATCATAATTATTTTGCGTTTGTTTTTGAGATTCATCTATGTTGCTACATCTATCAGTAGCTCATTCCTTTTTATTAAGTAGTATTAATTATATGGATAAACAAAAATTGTTTATCTGCACTCACATTGATGAAAATTGAGATTGTTTTTCAATTTTCAACTATAAATATAATTGCTGTGAACATTCTTGTACATATATTTTTTTGTGGATTTAAGGGCTTGTTCATGTTGGGCATATGCCTAAAAGTGAAGTTGTTGGGTCATAGGGTAGATGTACGCTTAACTTTATTAGAATGGGGCCACTTTGGGGATTGGGAGAATCTCTAGTCAAGGGCTCTTCAGAAACATTTCTTTCTCTTCAACTGGCCCTGACATTCACTGATTCCTTCTAGGATAGCCCAGGCATGGTGCCACCCTTAACTCTCCCTCTTTTCCAAGGGTTTCCAAATGGCTTGCCTTTTATCAGCATGAGGACAGGGCAGGGATCAAAATGTACCAAATTATATCCCAGTGATTAACTCGGTAATCCTTGCACCTGGTGGTGCTGGGGGACGGCTTCCCACATGTGGCTCTTAGAAAATCAGGGACTTATCATGGGATTTGTGGTCTCTTGCCTGGAAGGACAGTATTTACAGCAGGTGATCAGAAGCACCACCTCAGACAACTCTCAGTGCTAGGACTTTGGGGCACTGTAGCCCAGATCACAGTGGGTAATAATGGGTTCCTTTATACCCAACCAAGAAGAAAGGCAAAGGATTGAAGAGACATGAGCTTCAATGACCCCTAGAGGGTCTAGAGGCAGGACTGTTGCACAGATTTGAGAAAAGCATTGCCCAGGAGACTGGAGACTGCCCTGGACTAGACATGGGACCTTGGTGAGCCACATCACTGCTCTGTGCCTCTGTCTCTTCCTCTGCTAAACGAGAGGCACAGACTCATGCCTGCAGTACCCTTTCATCCTTCCCATGTGGTCTCCCATTCCTATTCCCCTGATTGTCATTCATCCCTCAGGACTGGGTGAAAGCATGACTCTGGAAGTCCTTCCTGGCTGCAGAAGCAGAGTTTGGCACTTTCATTGGAACTCTTCCCCATGAGGCAACTGCTGTGTTCCTCACATGGCATCCTGTTTGCCTGTCTCCCACTCTCTACCATGAACTCCAGAACTGCAGGGATGCTGGCCTGGCATAATGCCTGGATCATATGTGATACACATCTAATACTTATTTGCTGACTCAATAAACAGTAGATCTTTAAATTTTCAACCAGCTAAATAATTCTGTGGGAAGGAGTACTTTCTATGGACATGCACACTGTCATGAAGTGACCAACTTTACAAAACAGGTCTTCTATATTGAATTGGTTGAACAGGGCCATAGGATTACTTCCCTCGGCCAATTAATTTAGTATCCCTAAAGGTAGGTGTTGGGGAGTCAGAATCATTTTTTCACAGTTCCTCAGACAATTCTAATACATAGCTCTGGCTGAGGTTGAGTACCACAGATCTAGGAAGCTGCTACTTATAGAGCCAAGGGAAATGCACTTTAGCAAAATAAAGACTCCTTCTAGGAAGCAGATAATCCCCTCATTCATCTATTCTGCAAATCCAGATTTTTAAAAAGCTCTTAAAGCTGATATAATATCCTCCATTACCAAAAACTCTGGGTCACAGGCTCTTTTGAAATCAATGCCTCCTGATTAAAAAATTACAAGAGCCTCTTACAGATTGGGCACAGCACACTCTGTTGATGCTTAGAAAGAGGGAAGCAGATGAGAAGGAGAACCTCCTTACCTTTCTCCTGAAATAAGGCAGATTTGAGGCCCCCAAACTGCCTTTGTGATTGAGAAAAAAAAAAAAAAATTCTAAGCAGAACATCTGTGTGCAAACCCACCTAGCAGTGGACACCATCATCATTTGGCTGCTGAACTGTTCTGCCATGTAAGGTCAAGGGTCAATCCCTTGGCTTAATCAAATCCTTTCCTATTAAAGAACCATGCCCCAGAAATAAATGCCAAATACATCTAATATGCTGATGATGATCTGAAGAAAAACAACACTTACAGACTATAAAAATGACCAAAGAAATGTCTGCAGTAAAATAACTCATGCAAAGGATTTTAATGTTCCAGTGCTTGGAGACTCTTTGAGCTGCCAAAAACCTCTTTATCATTTGCTCCAAGAGGGAGTAGGCCTTGTTCCAGGTTAATAGATCATTTTTGAAATGCAGAAGTAGTAATAATAATAGTGGTAGCAGTACTTGATACAATTTCCTGAGTGCCTATCATGTTACAGGGAAGTGTGAACCGGGTTCACACTCTGGTGGTCACCATGTCTGTGGCCCTGGCTCAGTGGCTTAACCACTCAGGTTTCCTCATTTGTACCACGAGGATATAAATAATACCTCCTCGCAGAGCTGTTTTCAGTCTCTGCTGGCCCATTGCTCTGCTCTACAGATGAAGTCACACCCTGGTAATCATGGCTGTCACTGGATGTTCAATGTTTGTAGAGGTTTTAAGTGGTTCCATTGATTTCACTAAACAACACTGCTGGGTTTAACAGAACAAATATCTTGTAATCATGTGAGCTAAGCTCTTTTTTGGATGCAATGGTCAAGTTTCAGAGGACATGTTGGACCTATGAGTCATACTATAATGAGGAACACCCGGTATCCTTAGGTATTCTATGTCAACTCCTAGTTGGGCTCAAATTCAGATCACTGCCCTTTGAGATTTTGTCTAGCCCAGGGGTCAGCATATCTGGCTAGCATCTTGTTTTTGCAAATAAAGTCTGTTTATATATAGTCAATGGCTGTTTGTGTGCTACAACAGCAGAGCTGAATAGTTGCAACAGAAATAGTGCAGTCCACGAAGCTTAAAAGATTTACTATCTGACCATTTACAAAAATGTCTGCCAATCCCTCCCTGGTCTAGTCTGCTGTTTGCCAGTACACATCACAAAAGAACTTGTTTGAACTTCAGAGGTAAGAAGAGCAAGCTCTTTAGGGTAACTCATCCCCTTACTGGTTTGCATGTGGACGCCAGTGCCTTCTGCACGGTGGGAAGTGTGATTTGAACTAGTGCCTCTTGAAATATCTTCTTTCGGATGGTGCTGCTGTCATAATCGTATTGCTGTCAGTAAAGAAACATATGTTAAATAGTAACATTACAATCTGTTGACTTATGCTTGCGCAAAAAACTCAGCCACCCACTTCACCTCTCTTTTCCCCCTAATGTCTGAGAACTCTTGTATTTCCAAGGCCTCAGAGATCTTTCCATGTAATCTCCTCACACTGCAGGCACAGTTTATAACTGATAATGATCCATCTCACTCTTACCTTTTACAGATATGGAAACTGAGGCAAGATCAAAACAGAGTGGTGACTTCTGCATTATAAAGAAGTTGGGGATACAATTGGCAGGTGAGTTTGTACTTTATTACTCCTGTCCCAGGTAGGTCCATGATCATCTATTACTCCACATCCTCAAAGCAGGGTCAGTGGGTTGTAATGATTTCCACAAGGGAAGAGAAGGCCTGGCTAGTGGCTCCATAAACACTGTGACGTGTTAACCAAAGAAGTTCAGTATCCAGCACAAGAAAGATGATGATTCTCTCTGTTCTGCATTGGACATCCCAACATGGAGACCAGGATTTAATCTTAGATCTCACTTCAAGGGGATCACAGATAAATCAGAGTACAGTCATAGGCAGTGAGAAGAATGGTCAGGCCAAGTGAAGAACAGTTAAAGAGACCAAGGTGTTTATACTGGAGGTAACAACTTAGGGCAAGTTATAACTTATTCAAACAACCAAAGGCTGCCACGTGGAAGAAGGTTATGAATGAAGTGGGTAGAACTGGAATGACCAGTGGTGAGAACTTTGGACTAACATAAGAAAGCATGTTCTTGCTGTCAAGAACTCAAATGGGCTATCCTGAGAGGCAAAAAGCATCCTGCCAGTGCAGGTGTCGGAGCACAAGTGGGATCACCCCTTGAGGGAACCTGCTGAACACTGAACATGAAGTTGAACTAAAGGCACTCAAAATCTCTTTCAAACTTGAGGTCCTATTATTTGAACACCTTTCTACACTTCTTCTTCCTTTCTTTCTGTATGCTAAAGCATTTGACACTGACACTATCTTTTTTTTTACTTCCATTGCAATTTCATTATTATGTGTGTTACCATGATCAGTATCATTTTTAATATCAGTGAATTGGTTGCTAGAGTTTCCTCTTGCCTGTGAAGCATCAAGATCAAGTCCAAAATTCAGAGACCACCCTTAGGCTCTGTGGGACTTTGATCTTCTGTTCCAAGGCACTGTTTGGGATAACTAGAAGGCAGTAAAAAAAATCAGTTAAAAAAAAATCAGTGTATGATCGTTTATCCTTAAACTCACCATTGACCAGCCTGTTGAGCTTAATTAAGTCACATTAACTTTTACAGAATCAGTTCCTCATCTGTACAATGGGGGCATATTCCAGTTAATGCACAAGTTCTTGTAGGGATCAAGTAAAAGCCTTTAAAATATAACATATGCGCAAGCTCCTATTATTAAAACTATTTTAATATATACTTACGCTGAAGCACATTTAAAACAATCTCATATGGTAGGTTTCTTTTCCTTGGAGTATTTCCTTTGCCATGAGGTTTTGATTTTTCAATAAAATATTTGCCAGTTTAATGGATTTTACCATATTTGTAACCTCTTTGAAGAAAGAGGCTGTGCCTTGCCTATTTTTACATCCCACACAATACTTATAGTGGACAGCCAATAAATGTTTGTCGAGTTCTATCTCTATGAAAGCTGGGACACAGGGCCTCTAGCTGTGAGTAATGGTACTGAGGACTAGCAGTGGTCACTAGATGGCAGAAGAGGCATGGAAGTCACATTGGAGAAACCGCAGCAGATTGACAAGTCACTGGACTTCGGAAAGGAAGGAGTAGGGGAAAGATTAGAGCGAAGGAGAGAACATGGTATTTTCCACTTCACAAAAGAAACAGGGGTCACGTTCTCATTTTATGCTTCCCACAAACAAGAGAACGGTTTTACCTTTAAGACTCGGAGCTTAACCTTCTCAATAGCAACTGCAGTTTTGGAGGCCTCTCCTTGGAGATGTGGGGAAAGCAACTGCTCAAAAGTGAACACTGCATTCTCCATTAGCTAGAAAGCAGAAGTGACACAGAAACAGACAACAGTCAGAGGCTGGGATCACCAACCATAGGCTGGCTAAGTGGGCTTGGAGAGTAGGGGCCATCAGAGATGAGTCCCCTCGGCTGTTACTCTGGGGGTGACCCACAGCAACATCACCCCATCACCAAGGCTGTGAAACAAATGGTCACGTGGCCACAGTGGGAGCAGGAAGAAGTTGGAAAACCCAAGGCCATGGGACTGAGCAAGCGTTCTGTCATCTCCTGTAGGTACTCCTCTTCTATTCTTTGATACCTGCAGCCACTGATTAAGGGATGAGGCTGGAGCCTTCTTCAACTAGTTTTTGGCGGCACCTCCACTTTTAAGTGGATGTAAAGCACTCCGCAGCATCTCTCTCCCTCTCCCTGCAGGGCTGGGAAGGCAGGAAGGGTGAGGGATGGGTGGGGACAGTGGCTGACACGCTCATGGCTCAGAAAGCAGAAGTAGTTCAGGTATCTTATTCTCTGCACCTTTGCGTGTGTTCCCGTCACCAGGGTCCAATATTACGAAAGAGACTTCTGCTAAACTGTTGCCCAATTTTGTTCCTTCTTCCTCTTTCATTCCTCACAACTCAAGGGTTAGCTAAAATGTATCACTTAATCCTGTCCATAACTTTTATGAAAAAAAAAAAAAAATGCTCCTTTCTTCCCCAAGCCCGTGATCCCAAAGCATCCAATATATACTTTTTTTTTTTTTTGAGACACAGTTTCGTTTTGTCATACAGGCTGGAGTGCAGTGGCACACTCTTCGTTCACTGCAACATCTGCCTCCAGGGTTCAGGTGAGTCTCGTGCTTCAGTGTCCACGTAGCTGGGACTACAGGTGTGCACCACCATGCCCGGCTAATTTTGTTGTATTTTTAGTAAAGACGGGATTTCGCCGTGTTGACCAGACTGGTCTTAAACTCCTGACTTCAAGTGATCCACCCGCCTTGGCCTCCCAAAATGCTGAGATTACAGGCGTGAGCCACCATGCCTGGCCACAATATACACCTTTATCATACCTTCAACACTGTAGTGAATTTATCTAAGAATTTGTCTCACTCAAGCTCCCTGAAGTGGGATCTGGTACAGTGTCTGGCCCACAGTAATCTCTCCTCAGAATATCTATGTGAAATGGCATGGTGTCCTTTAGAGTGTTGATGACCACACACCTTGTTCATTTAGGAAACACCATAATATGGGAAGAGTTTGTGCTATTCATTCCTGTTACTGGGGAAAAGGTTCCTTATGAAAAAAAAAAAGAAACCTATCAAGCAGGCTCAAGAAATTCAAATATGAAGCTATGATTGATTGATTGATTGGTTTGCTCTTAATTACATTACGGAATTAATTTAAGCCAGTGGTTCTCAATCCTGGCTGCATATTAGAAGCAGCTGGAATCAGGGTAGGGATGTTCTATCAAAAAGTAGCCATATAGGCTGGGTGTGGTGGCTCATGCCTGTAATCCCAGCACTTCAGAAGGCTGAGGTGGGCAGATCACTTGAGGTCAAGAGTTTTGAGACCAGCCTGGCCAACACAGTAAAACCCCATCTCTACTAAAAATACAAAAATTAGCCAGGCATGTTGGCACATGCCTGTAGTCCCAGCTACTTAGGAAGCTGAAGCAAGACAATCACTTGAACCTGGGAGGCAAAGGTTGCATGCAGTGAGCCAAGATTGTGCCACTGCACTCCAGCCTGGACATCAGTATTTCCCCCAGGTGATTCCAACGTGTAGCCAAGGTTAAAGCACTGATTTGACAAATCGAGTAGTTATCAATTAATGCTACTTTATTTTTCTGAGCTATATCTTGTCTATGATGTTCACCCACATGGAAGAAAGATGAAGCCAGTGGAGGGACTGAACATGTCCTCCCCCAACATGATGGCTAAAGAGATGCGACGCATTTCCCTCAGCTACACCAGCAGCCAGTCTCACTGGTCAGCACCCATTTCTCTGCTCTCTCTTTACCCTCCTCCACCAGGGATGCCCCTGCCACACCCACCTCCTGCATGTAGTTCTGTGTCCTCTGAACCACCAGATCGACGTGGGGGAATCTGAAGCGGCTCTTGAGATCCTGCAGGCGCTCGTGAAGCAGGTTGACTTTAGTATAACAAGGTTCCATCTTCACGGAATGCAGCGGAAGATTCATAAGCCGGTCTAGATGCTGCATTTTGGTGAAGTGAAACATTAAACACCCTCAGATCGAGGAGTGGTATTGCATACATATTGCATATTACATACATTCTAAACAATAAAATGCATGTTAAAGTGAATCACTGCTCAGATCCCTACATCTGTGACACCTTCAACTGTCTTATTTTCCTCCTTCAGTGGGTTCCTAGGGTAGCTGTAATGGTAGGACAGAAACCAGCAGAAACACCAACTGGATGACAGGAAGACCCAGGGGTGCACCCAGGGGGACTCCAGTCTTTGTAAGCTGTTGGTGGACTCCAAGCTCCCACTTCCAGAGCCCAAGAACCAGGCAGGTAGGCTCTGACACATGGTTGCTGCTGGGCCCCCAGGCTTCCAAAATCTTCTTTAGTGAGTGACACTCCTCTCAAAAAACCCCAGGGAGGTCGGGATGCTCCCTGGACTCCCGGACTTTGGAAGGGAAGCCAGAGTTTCTCGCAATTCTATGAGGCTCTGCCAGGGCCCACAGGGCTTCCCTCTGCTATAGGTTGCTTCAGGTGCTAAGGGATGGGAAGTGGAGAGGCAGAGCCCTGAACTGGGAGAGGTATCCAGTTTGAAGAACTGGCGTCCCTCCTACTCTAGTTTGCGCTCAATCAATGAGGTCATTGGGCTTCCAGCATCAGACCTCACCTGCTAAAGCCCTAAAGTGTTATCAACAAATGTTGTTGCAACAGAATGCATTCTGTTTTCCAAGCTTATTTTAAAATCATTTTTTAAAGGGGATACTGGAGGTTTAAAATAAACAGGGGAATGGGTGGAGCAGAAGAAGGCAGAAAGAAAGGTTCCGAAAATGGAGGGTCTAGAGGGAACGGGGGAATGAGGCAGGGTACATATGAATAATATAGGATGCACTGTCTGACTTTCAGCTCACGCAGAAGAGATAATCTAGATTTCTAGGTTTCTCTAAACAGGAATTTTAAAAGGGCCCACTCTCATTATGCTTTAAAGGGAAAATACTGCTCCCTTTATGAAGTGAGTTATGGAGAGGTCCACTGAAGTGGAATTAAGGATTAAAAGCACGCTGGGGAACTTGCAGCTCCTCACAAAATGGAATGTGTCTATTTTTAAAAAAATATCAATTAAGCAGACAGGAGAGGGAAAAAGGGTTCCCACTTTGCTCCTATCAGATTGGCAAAAGTTTAATCAAATGACAACACCTATTGCTGATGGCAATATGGGGGAGAAAGCCCCTATCATACACAATTAGTGGAAATGTAAAATTTAAATCCTTTTTTTGAAATGCAATGGAAACATTTTTTAACATGAGAAATGTACTTTCAACCTGGCAATCCTGTCCTAGGAATGTATACTACAGAAATAAACACATCAGGGTATATGTACGTGTATATGTGTGTGTGGGGGTATACATATGTATGTATATAAATATATATATTACAGCTTTATTCATAATGCCAGCAATATTGAGGTGAATGAATAAATCGTGGTGTATCCATACATGAAATATCATGCAGCCATTACAAAGAAAGATTTAGAGTGAAAACAGTTACCTTGGAAACAGTTTCATGAGGTATTTTTGGATGAGAAACTGATAAGCAGAGTAATGTATAAAATATAATCCCATTTTTCTTAAAGCGGGCAATCTAAAGTCTAGCGTCTAAGTATGTGTTTTATGTGTTAGATGAGAATGGGGAAAATATAGAATGGCATATGCTAAGTTGTTAATACGAGTTGCTTGAGGGGAGGTGGTGGCATTGGGGAAGGGGGAGAATAAAGACAAGTAAAACAAAACAGACTGCAGTAAGAAACCCCAAAACATCTGTAAAGTGAGTCTGTTAATGTACAATTATATATGTGTATATATGCATAAAGAATAAAGGAAAAGAAATAGAGGCATCTGGTTTTATCTACTGACTTACAAGGATGTTCATCATGATATGTCAAGTATAAAACCAAACCGCCAATTTATATCTTTGTCAGTGATTCTTAAACTGTAGGGTACACCAGAACCTCTGGCGGTCTTGTTAAACTCCTGGCACTACCCCTAGAGTTTCTGATTTAGCACATCATCAGTGGGGCCTGAGAATTTGCATTTTAAACAACCAGGTGATGATGACACTGCTGGTCTGGGGACCATACTTTGAGAAATAGTGATCTGTTAAAGCAAACTAAATATAGCCTGAGAAGGATTCTATACTTCTATATTTGAGTCCTTGTGGATAAACTGTAAGAGTCAGACAAAATTGAAAACCTAACTTAGTAGTATGCACCTGTAACAATAACTGAGTGTTGGCCAGTCCCAGCAGCCATACTTCAACCACTCACAGACTGCTGAATGTTCAAACTGCGTTCAGACAAGGCAAACGCCGAGTTGTAACCAATCTCACTATCTCTGTTCCTCACTTCTGATTCCTGTACATTACCTTACCTTCTTTGTTTGTAAATTTATTCTGACCGTGAGGCACCCCTGGAGACTTTGTGAATCTGCTGTGATTCTAGGGGCTGCCCGATTTGCGAATCACTCATTGCTCAGCTAAACTCCTTTAAATTTAATTTGGCTGAAGTTTTTCTTTTATCAGATAGTGTCAGAAGCAGGATCCGAAGTGGAGCTTCTAGTGACCCCCAGGAGAGCTGAGTGAACACACAAGGTACCTGCAGGTCCCACCTGTGTCCATTGATCTCTCAGAGCGGCTGGGGATCGCGGGTGAGCTCCCTCTTGGGTTTTAGAGCTCCATGGATTTGTGTTTTGAGCTCTCTGAGTTTCTTTGAGCAAGTTTCTGATCCAAACTAGGTTTGTAGTTATGACAGAAACTGGACTGGGTCCAGGAACAGATTTGATCCAGGAATTAACTGACTTGGATCCAGTTAGAGGCCTCTTATATCTGACTGGGTCAGAAAGGAACTGGTAGTAAGCAGTAATATTGCAGGGGTTATAACATTTGGCTTTTGAAAATTCATAGGGATTTCTGTGTTCTACCCCTTTTTTCATTTTTCTTGTGTGCTTAGGTAGGAAAAATCATTGGCTAAGTTAATCAAGAGAACCTGGGAGTAAAGCCAATATTTTAGGTAAAAATGGGCTCCTTAATTTCTGGAAAACTGAGTTCCTTCTGGCTTACACATTAGGCCTGGGAGGCAGCGAAGTCTTATAGAAACAGCAAAATCTTACTAAAGATAACTTACAGTGGAATGTTCCAAATGAACAACAATGCATTGAAGTTCTTTCTTTCTTTTTCTTTTTTTTTTTGAGATGGAGTCTCTCTCTGTTGCCCAGGCTGGAGTGCAGTAGTGAGATCTCAGCTCACTGCAAGCTCTGCCTCCCGGGTTTATGCCATTCTTCTGCCTCAGCCTCCCGAGTAGCTGGGACTACAGGCGCCCACCACCACACCTGGCTAATTTTTTGTATTTTTAGTAGAGATGGGGTTTCAACGTGTTAGCCAGGATGGTCTCGATCTCCTGACCTCGTGATCCACCCGCCTTGGCCTTCCAGAGTGCCAGGATAACAGGCGTGAGCTACCGTGCCCGGCTGCACTGAAGTACATTTTTAAAATGAGGGCTTTTAGTAAAGTATCTTTTGGCTAGGAACGGTTTTGGCTCTATGGGATGTCAACTGCTATTCTCTTTGGAATAATCTGCCTTACACTCTTTGCTGATAGCTGTGGGTGACAGGATTAGGCATGTACAGGATGGTGGGACATGGGGAACTTTTTCCGTCCTCCCCAAAAAGAGGGAAACCTGAGAGCTGATGAGACTGCTGGAAAAGATCCTCTCGCTACTAGCTAGTGGCCATCAGAACTTTTCAGTGTCGCTGAAATGAATGGGTCTTGCTCTGGCCTCCCTGAGCTCTTCACTTTCTGCACAATGCCACAGGCAATACTTTGCTTCATCTTATTTTCCTTTCATATCTCTTTCGTTACTCAGGGCAACCATCTTGCCCAGAGACCGCGCCTTGAAACTCCTAGTCGGAGGTTTGATTAAAGATGAGGAGGGCCATCTGAGGGCAAATTTAAGCCTTGCCAGTTTGATATTGGATGCTAAGCAGAGTGGCTAGTGTCTATGTTTTATTATTTTGCTCTGGCCAGAGAGAAAAAAAATAATTTTCCTTTATGATGCGGCTTGGCCCCCAGCGTGATGGTGCAGCAAGCTGGGTCACTAGAGCCACTCAGGGAAAGGGAGCCCAGAGCCTGGCATGCTGGCCAAAAGGTAAGAATTTCTTGCCAGTCAGATTTCTGGCTTCTCTCTCTGTAAAAACAGTTGAATGAATGGTAAAAATCACTGCTTATCTCCATCTTGTTTTATGTTCTTAGGAGCTTGACTTTGTAATCACATAGCAGTACTTTCTCTTGGTCTCTGCCTTCCAGGGAACAGGAATTTTAGGGTTTCTGTCATAGTTAGCTCTAAAAATTATCTTGAGTAGTTAAAAGCCTTTGCAAACTCACTGTTAACTACTCTAGATTCCTTCTGGGAAGGGCAGTAGAGACTGCCCCATGCTGTAGTTCAGTAGCTAAGGTTTTGCCCTTTCACACTGGTGGTCTGGGTGCAATTCCCTGCTTAGGAAGCAAACTCTTTCTGGTTGAATATCTGCATAACCTCGTCTAGTCTCTTATCCTCCACGGACTATCTTAAATTTTCCTTTCTCTGGGCCGGGCGCGGTAGCTCACGCCTGTAATACCAGCACTTTGGGAGGCCGAGACGGGCGGATCACAAGGTCAGGAGATCGAGACCATCCTGGCTAACATGGTGAAACTCCGTCTCTACTAAAAAATACAAAAAACTAGCCGGGCGAGGTGGCGGGCGCCTGTAGTCCCAGCTACTCGGGAGGCTGAGGCAGGAGAATGGCGTAAACCCGGGAGGCGGAGCTTGCAGTGAGCTGAGATCCGGCCACTGCACTCCAGCCTGGGCGGCAGAGTGAGACTCCGTCTCAAAAAAAAAAGAAAAGAAAAGAAAGAAAGAAAAAAAAATTTTCCTTTCTCTGAGCATCTGCGAGATTACCTACTACGGTAAATTTCAAAAGCCAGA